TGGCTCTGGCCTCAGCCTGGCCCACAGCCGGCCTGTCTGACACTGACCCATCTGTCAGTCTGTCTGTCTGTCAGTCTGCTGGCTCGCGGGGCCTAGCTCTTCCTGAGGCTCAGCCTCTCCCCTTCAGTCAGGTAACCCGCCTGGGGGTGGGGGGGGGCATTCGGTACTGTACCCAGGAAACGGGGGAAGGGGGCCGAGGAAGTGGAGAGGCAGGCATAGTCACGTGGGGGCTGGGTCCCTCTCAGAGGGTGGGCTGCGGACTGTACCACTGCGGATGGCCGGTGACGGCTGGCGGAGGGTGTGAGGGGACTGCCCCCAGGGGAGCTGGGAGCTGGCAGGAACGGAGCCAGAGGGACTCCCTGCCTGCCCTACCTGGACGGGCATCACACGCTAACCCTTACAACTCTCCTCCCGGTCGCTAGTTCGCCGCCGACTCCCCTGTTCCCCCTTGTAGGTGGTACCACCCCCCAGTCTCTGTGCCCATCTCCAGCCCTTCAATAGGGTCTGAGTTCCTTCGGGTAGAGGGTCCCCCTGAGCCTGTGGGACGGGGTTTCGGAGTCGCGCGGGGAGGACTTCATGGGTAACCGGGGGTACCCGGGTCCCTTCTTGAAGCGCAGGTCACGGGAGGAGGGCGCACAGAGGGGCAGGCTGGTGAGGTAGCTGCAAGGACACCCGGGGGAGAGCTGGGGAGATTGGCTGTGAGCCAGGCGAGCTCGGCCAGGAGGAACCGAGCCAAAGTGTGGAGGAGCGGGAGAACCGGGGCGGGGGCGGGGCGTCGGAGCCGCAGAAACCCTCCGGGTGACCCAGGCGTCCGGAACCCCCAGCCCCCTCGGCTGGGGATTGAAAAAATCGCGAGAGCCGGCACGTAGGCGGAGGACGATGGGGGTTGGGACTCCAGTGTTTTGTACAGGGGGTGGGGACAGGAGCTGCGAGGCTTCGGGGTGCCAGGCTTCACCCCTCAAGATTTCCCCTTGCCATCGAAGACAAGGAGACTCGGTTTTATGGGAAAAAGAGAAAAGGAAACTGAGGCAGGGCTCG